GTCGGCATCCTTTTTCAAATGACAATAGATCCTACTGTCTCATCGACTCCGTTCGCCTCCATCCGGGAGGTGAGTTATTACAAGGACGAAGAGGAAATTCTCTTCTCGATGCACACCGTCTTTCGAATCGGTGAAGTTCGAAAACTGGACAAGAAAAGTCCACTTTATCAAGTGGACCTCAAACTTACGTCTGATGATGACCAACAACTTCGTCGATTAACCGATCGTATACGACAAGAAACATCGGGCAGCACCGGATGGGATCGAATGGGTCAATTGCTGCTCAAAATAAGTCAATTTGACAAGGCTGAAGAATTATATACAGCACTACTAGAACAGACATCCAACGACAGTGCTAAAGCATATATCTATAGCCAGTTTGCATGGGTGAAACGGGACCGCGGAGAATACACAGAGGCAGCGACATTTCTCGACAAATCCCTCAAAATCTGTCTGAAAAGTGTCCCCGAAGATCATCCTTCATTGGCTCCTACATACGGCAACATCGGTCAAGTGTATAACGCCATGGGTGACTACTCGAAAGCACTTGAATTTTACGAAAAATCACATAAAATCCTCGAAAAAGCTCTACCTCCGAATCACCCTCATTTGGCTAGTTCCTACAACAACATCGGTCTAGTGTATAACAACATGGGTGACTACTCAAAAGCACTTGAACTTTATGAAAAATCACTTAAAATAAGAGAAAAAGATCTGCCTCCGAATCATCCCGATTTGGCTAGCTCCTACAACAGCATCGGTCAAGTGTATAACGACATGGGTGACTACTCGAAAGCACTTGAATTTTACGAAAAAGCACATAAAATCCTCGAAAAAGCTCTACCTCCGAATCACCCTCATTTGGCTAGTTCCTACAACAACATCGGTCTAGTGTATAACAACATGGGTGACTACTCAAAGGCACTTGAATTTTATGAAAAATCACTTAAAATAAGAGAAAAAGATCTGCCTCCGAATCATCCCGATTTGGCTAGCTCCTACAACAGCATCGGTCAAGTGTATAACGACATGGGTGACTACTCGAAAGCACTTGAATTTTACGACAAATCACATAAAATAAGGGAAAAAGTTCTGCCTCCGAATCATCCTCATATGGCTACTTCCTACAACAACATCGGTAGAGTGTATAACAACATGGGTGACTACTCGAAAGCACTTGAATTTTACGAAAAATCACATAAAATAAGGGAAAAAGCTCTGCCTCCGAATCATCTCGACTTGGCTTCTTCCTACAACAATATCGGTGGAGTGTATAACAACATGGGTGACTACTCGAAAGCACTTGAATTTTACGAAAAAGATCTCGAAATCAAGAAAAAAGCTCTGCCTTCGAATCATCCCGATTTGGCTCAATCCTACAACAACATCGGTGGAGTGTGTTACCACATGGGTGACTACTGGAAAGCACTTGAATTTTACGAAAAATCACATCAAATCTTCGAAAAAGCTCTGCCTCTGAATCATCCCGATTTGGCTAGCTCCTACAACAGCATCGGTCAAGTGTATAACGACATGGATGACTACTCGAAAGCACTTGAATTTTACGAAAAAGATCTCGAAATCACGAAAAAAGCTCTACCTCCGAATCATCCCAATTTGGCTAATTCCTATACTTGCATCGGTCAAGTGTATAACAACATGGGTGACTACCCGAAAGCACTTGAATTTTACGAAAAATCACATAAAATCCTCGAAAAAGCTCTACCTCCGAATCACCCTCATTTGGCTACTTCCTACAACAACATCGGTCTAGTGTATAACAACATGGGTGACTACTCAAAAGCACTTGAATTTTATGAAAAATCACATCAAATCTTCGAAAAAGCTCTACCTCCGAATCACCCTCATTTGGCTAGTTCCTAC